TCTCTCATTCTCTCTGTCTCAAATAAATAAATTAAATAAAATCTTTAAAAAAATAAAATAAAATAAAATAAATAAAAATGGTTTACAAAGGTAATGTAAAATGTTTAGAGAATATTCTAAGTGGCAAAGTACACAATACTTTACACACAGTGTGATTTCCATATTAAAAAGCCCCCATGCTTAGAAAGAAATGACTCAGGTACTACTATGTCAAAAGTGGATGTCAAATTTTCCTCTGTATTTGCCAAATAGTCTCTCATGAGCATTTTATTAATTTAAAATGGAAGAAGAGGGGCACCTGAGTGGCTGTCGTTAAGCGTCTGATTTCAGCTCAGGTCATGATCCCAGGGTCCTTGGACTGAGCCCTGCATCAGGCTCCCTGCTCTGCGGGAAGCCTGCTTCTCCCTCCCCCATTCCCCCTGCTTGTGTTCCCTCTCTCGCTGTGTCTCTCTCTGTCAAATAAATGAATAAAATTTCAAAAAAAATAAACAAAATGGAGGAAAAAAGGCCAAAATCCAAAATATTGAAAATTTAGAAGCTGTACAGGAGACAAACAAATTTCTGTCCCCAACATGAACTGAATTAAGTAAGGAAAAGAAATAAATAATGCACTTAGAGGAAACACAACTCAGAGCTCCACAGAGGCACGCGCCCCCAGGGCTCTCCGCACCACAAGGTAACTACACCAGCAATCACAGAGAGATACTCTCACTCCCCCACCAAAACCCCTAAGGCTATAGTATACACAGGGTGCTACTTTTCTGAGAAATGGGGGAATATAAAATTACTATAATCTGCATATATTTATAGAAAAAAAATTAGAAAGATAAACCAAAAGCTAATATAAATGGTCACCAAAAAGAACAGACAGAAGGGAGAAGTGGAAGCAAGAGTTCTCTGAATATACCTTGTCAAATAATTTTGGCTGTTTTCATTTCAAAAAATTGTATCAATTAAAAAAAAATTCTTAACAGTGGAAAATGACCCAAAATGAACAGCCCTATGTCAAACTGACATCTGAGACCGAGAAAACAGAAACAATTATTTCAAGTGACATTAGAACAAACTATTTTGACTGTACATCCTCAGTGACACATGTTCTAAACACAGAGATGCATAGAAGTCTTAAATATCCATGTATTTCAGAGATGACAATCAAGTACATAGGCTAAAATGACACGATTCCTAAAATTTGCTTTAAAATATTACAACAGAGAAAAAAAAGAGTGCTGATAAGTGTGGTAATATTCTGATACTCATTGACAATGTCAAAGTTGATAGGTGTATGGGAAGTTATTACACTATTCTCTATACTTCTGTATATGTTTGAACTTTTCCATAACAACAGTGTTTTTTAAGCCTTGATTGCTCCCTCTATGCTTAAGGCCCAGCTCCTAGGCTCAGGGAGGCAGCCAGCTTTACTACCCCAGCAGCCACCCCCACCAGCACAGCACCTGGTCTCCCATCTCGGGGCCTCTACCAACAACGCCTTGTTCCCTTCTCCCCCAACCCCCACTCCAAGCCTCCACATGCTACCTCCTTATTTTTTATTATTCTTTTTTAATGTGAGTATATTTGCTAGAATTGTGCTACATACAACTTGCCCATCTTCCCTGGAAACTAATTTATTTGTAATCTAGTCTTGGGGGAGTCATTTAATTTCACTGATTCTGTTTCCTCGTCTATCGCTAGAGAATAAAAAAAAAAATTAACTTTTTAACTCTGATTCAATGAAATGAATGATTTTATTTAATACACTATCTACAGAGTCTAGGAAATAAGATGGTGGGTCAGCAAGTTTTTCTTCCCTTCCCTAATCCCCTTCTCCTCCACCTTGCTTGCACTTAAAAAGTTAATGCCTCTGGGCTCACATTTTATTTCATGTGATGGGAGTTCTGTTAGTATAAGACTCTGAGCCTTTTCGTCCAGAGGACCGGCATCCCCTAAGTAAAGAGTAAGTTGGAGAAGAATGGACAGGGCATGCTCTGCCCAGCTGCTCTTCTCCATCTGGCATACCTGCCAGTAGGCAGTTAGAGAGCTCACTTCATCTGCTGGCAAAACTTCCACATGGAGAGGCTTGCCCTGGCCCACCTTATTTGCATGGACACTCTTGGCTCAATTTGGGATTCAGTATTAGGAAACCTCCTGCAGTACCTGCAGATGAACTCTATCTCCTTCAACCCAGTTTACCTGTAATAAAGCTACATATTTTTTCACTTCCTACCTACCTCAATACTTTTGTTTCTCAGTGTGTACAGAATTTGGGAAGGGGGAAGAGGATTGCTGTTTGTGGGGCTCCCTCAGAGACCTCAGCAATCTCCAGTTATCATTGTCACTGGCTAATATTAGGCTTTGACAGGTCCTAAATGCTGATGGAATAATTCAACTCAGCTCATGTGTCACTGCTTCAAAAATCCAAGTCATGAAGTTTATGAGGTTCATCTGCCATGTTTTTCCTTATTAGAGAAAATCTTCCTAAACCTCCCAGCCTCTAGCTATACTCCCAAAATGAGAAAGGTGACCCCCATGGAGTCATTTCACAGCAGGTGAAAATGTTTGGGGATGATCTTAAAAATGACTTCAGATTTACACCCATCTCACACCACCAAGCCCATCCACTAGTAGTCACTCCAGAAAACATTCTCTGAAGTAGGCAGGGACAGACTGGACTCCACACGAGCCTACCTGACTGTAAGCAGGGATGTCTCTGAAAGGTCCATAATCCAGGAGGTCCTCAGAGCGCGTGGGGTTCCCCAGCTTGGTGTAGCTCTCTACGTTTCGGGAGGCAAGCTTCACACGCATCGTCTGTGTCTTCGTTGGATAGGGAGAGTAGAAATAATGGTTCCCCTCAAACACGACAAACTGTTTCTCTGACTGGGTGATCTGGGTTGGATACGGCTGAAGCACATGGGTATAGACTGTTTCCACAATGACCAAAACCTTGGCCCCAGGATCGAGAGCAACTGGGAGCTTGACTGTGAAGAATCTCCCACTGGAGCAAGAACAAGGCAAGAAAATTAAGAGATGAAGGGAACTGAAAACAGAAATAGCAACTCAAAGTCACAGCAACATTTTGTACCCAAGACAAAAGCAGTTACCTTTAAGAGATCATCTTTAACCTATTAATTCAAGCCTTTTAAGACAGATGTCTGGGTATTCATTTCACAATTGTTTATAATAACAGAACAGTACAACAGCGCCTGGGTGGCTCAGTTGGCTGAGCGTCAGACTCTTGGTTTTGGCTCAGGTCATGAGATAGAGCCCTGTGTCGGGCTCTGCGCTCAGCAGGGAGTCTGCTTGAGATTTTTCTCTCTCCCTCACCCTCTGCCCCCTCCCTGCTCTCTCCCTCTCTAAAATAAATAAGTCTTGGGGGGAAAAAAAGTATAAAACGTAAAGGTCCAACAAGGTCGAACAACAGGATAATGGTTAAAAGCATTCCAGCAGAGCCACACAGTGGGATAATGGCAGCCACTTAAAAGGATATTAAGCATTTCCATGTACAGTGTAAATAACAGAAATCAGTTCACAAATGGCACAGTATGATTCTATCTTAAAGAATAAACATAAACAAGTGTATGTGAAGAAAAGTATTCCAATGAATGTTTCCAAACTGTGAATGGTAACTGTCTAGGGAGGAGAATAGCTTTATTTTGTTATTTTCTCCAATTGGTTTTATGAACTTGTACCACTCTCATAACTAAAAAAATAAAGCTACTAGCATTTTAAAGAAAAAGAGATGGCCTGGAAACTACTAAAATCCATACGATATTAACTCAAAAATAAATCTGAATTTTCTAAGCCACAAGATAACTTTTGGTAGGCCCAGAAACTGTTAGTGGAAAATGAAAGGCATTTAACAGGCTTCTTTGGAATTTGTCCTCCAAGGTCAGAACACGTCAGAACACGGATCACTTTTCCTGATATGGCCTTACAGAACTCTAATTTTGCATATCTTCATCAGTCACACCATCACACACTATCACTACTCTGAAGTACCTACTTAAAATATAGTAAGCTTTACACCTTCTCCCAGGACGGTCTTAACCAATTCCTGGCTTCAAGTTCCAGATCTGTTTCTCATCCCACACTCTGCCCTGAGCACTAAACTCCTATTTTCAAAGGTTCACTAGACAGCTCCACTGACCACCCAACATACCCAGTATCATTCATGATCCCAATTCCTTGCTCTGTTAATAAATACTACCACCATCTGACCACTTCTAAACCAAAACCCTCCTACGTGGTCGGATGCCTCACTCTACTCCATCCCTAATGTCTGGTTAATCCTGCCTTAGGATGTCTCTCAAATTCATCCCTTCCGGAATTTCCATTGCTGCCCCCTCGGTTCAAACAATTCTCCCTTGCCAAGATTATTACCTATCTTCCTAATTAACCCCCTAATCTCTTTCTCCCTCTAGCCCATCAACAAAATGTGACACAACCCCACCTTAATTTTCACATGAAATGTCCCAGCATAATTGAATCTCATTTTAACAACATTTCAGTGTTCCAGGGTGATCATTAGAAATATCAATTCTCAGGGGCGCCTGGATGGCTCAGTCAGCTAAGTGACCAACTCTTGGCTTTGGCTCAGGTCGTGATCTCAGGCTCTTGGGATTGAGGCCTGCATCAGGGGCCACGCTCAGCATGGAGTCGGCCTGGGATTCTCTCATTCTCTCTGCCCCTGCCCCCCTGCACTCTCTCTAGAATAATAAATCTTTTTAAGATTTTATTTATTTGACAGAGAGAGAGACACACACAACGAGAGAGGGAACACAAGCAGGGGGAGCGGGAGAGGGAGAAGCAGGCT